TCCCAGTGTCATGTGATCACCATTTGTAACTTTCCCAGCTGACTTCCAACAAACAAAGTCAATTGGGGAAGACAGGTTCACTTAACGACTGCATGGGTAATTTAATAACTGCATAAAATGGGGCAAAAGTCACTTAACAACTGCCTTGCTTAGCAATCAAAATTTTGGGCTCAATTGTGGTTGTAAGTTGAGGACTACCCATTATTGCTGTTCCCACTCTTATAGCAAGATCTCATCTACCTACCCTTTGAAAGGTATTAATAGAGAGAATGGCACAACTTATATAGTATTTTTCCACCACTACATGCATTTGTATGTGTTCTAAATTATAATATGTTTTATTATATGATTTTTATTGGCTAATTTTAATGTACTAATATTGTATATCACCCATATAAATTAATTAAATAAAGTAAGCAAATTAGCTATAGGACTCTCATTGTTGGCACAAACATATACCACTAAGATTTTTTAAGTGTCATATTGTTTTATTCCACGGGTGTCAAACTTGATCGTGTCACATGACGTATCGTGATGTATTGTGATATTTTTTGCCTTTGTGGAGCTGGTGTGGGCGTGGCATGTCGTGACGCACCTGGCCCACAGGCGACCAGTTTGACACCCGTTTTATTCTTATCTTGTGCCCGTGACAAATTAATGTGATAATCATTACAGTTTTAGTGTAGTGTTTTTCTTCTTGTCCCTAAATATTATTTGCTGTGGAGACAATGTTTGACTGGATGATTCATGATACAATTAGAAGTTAAGATTTCTCTGCTCCTTATCATTAATTTTAGGCTCTGTGTGTCTGAATGCCTTTCTGTCTCTTGTTGTACACTGTTACTATGACCACTGACGTTTGAGCTCTGAGAAACATACAGTAAATATCTGGCTTCTACACAGGCATAAGTTTATGGATTTAGCATTCTTTTGGTGGAAAAAATAGACCTAGGTTTAAAAAATGGATTTTAAGTGGCTGTACTTTTTACTGTTATTACTTGACTGTAGTTTTTAAAAATATATAAATCATAAAATTAATCAATTTCAATATATTTTCTTGTTATTTGTAAATTTAACCCATATCTTATATTTAATAACTTTTATTAGCATTATAATCAGTTTTATCTACAATCCTGTAATTTAGGAATGTTGCTTCTCTCAGCAGGTACTAAGAGACTTTTCTTAAAAAGTCTTTTTTTATATTGCATTTATTATCATCTCATTAGTCTCTCTTAGCATTTCAGTGGAATGTGCTAAATCATAATATTAATCACACTTTCATGTAAGTTCCTATAATGAAATGCTGGTTTCACAGGAAATCCTTCTCTGCCAGCACCTAGACATATGCATCCTCTGAAATTTTGCATCAGTATGTTCATTCAGAGTATGTCACATCTGTTAGATCACCTTCCATGGAACTCTGTGACTAGCACAGGTACAGAATAGAATCAGGTCCCAATATCCTCACACTTCACCAGCCTAATTATATTCCTGGTGTTCTTTCCCACGGCTATTAGTACTGATCTAAGTGAGTTTCTCATTCTCAGAATCTAAATTGTAACTCAGAGGATTCCAAATTATTAGAACTGGTCCCAGGTTCACTAGTTCTTTAAACTATCAGCGCCATAAATGGCACCTTTCCACCATTGCTACCATTCCAAGTCCAGTTAGCAGGCCCCAATAGCAGTAATTGTTGTTTTTTCTGTTAGCTACCAATCTGTCTTGATATCTCTATTGTCTTCTTCAATGCTACAGCCTCAGCCTCACAGGTGATGGTAACCACAATGTCCCACTTCCTCTTCTGCCAATATTGTAAATGTTCTGATTGCTGTTCCAGATAGTGTTCTAGTTCCAGCCCTCATTGCCTCAGCTCCTCTCAGCCATCCTCCAACAATGTCAACTATAGATGCTGTCATCACTTTTCCTATCCATCAACTCTGCAAGTCAGGAACTCTACAACAGCAGTTCCAGTGATAGTTTCAATGACTCTGATAGATGATTTATTCTCAAGCCGCCAGAGAGTTTATTGAGACTAGTGAGGTAATCAAAAGCCACTTGAATGACCCAATCAGCTCAGAGGTTCCAACAACATCAGTGTGTGGTTAAGCAACCACCTGATGGAATATACATAAATACACACAAACACATGTTTAGTTAGTACAAACACATATAAAAATATTGATTTCTCTATTTCATTGGGAATTAAAATAATTTCCAGTTCAAAGTCCAAGTCTTATCATCTAATTATTCTCTTATTTTGAAAAAATCAATTTATTCCTCCAGGACTCATCTGCCTAATTTAGCAAGATATTTGTATACTTTGAAGTAATAAATACCACTTATACGTGTAGTTCCTGTCATTATCCTTCTCTTCCTAATCATTTTCTTCTGCTATGACATGTATCTCTTTAGCATGGAGAACAGCCATTTTAGTCCACTACAGCAAAATACTACTACTAATAATAATATAAAGATTAGCAGGTGTATTAGAATGTGAGGATCATAAGAGTGTTTAATATATTACAATCACAGAAATACAAAGTTAAGTCCATCCTTAATCATGGAAACACACAGAATTGTTTTAATTCAGTTGAACTAGGTTGTGGAGCAAATTGGAGCAGTGTTATGCATGCTGTCTTCAGCTATGGAGGAGAGGTAAAACATTATTTATTAGACTTTTATCTGGTCTTTATTATTTTATAACTAATTCAAGGCAGTGAATGTACACAAATCAATTTATCACCACAACTGAGACCAGAATTTTAGTTGCTAAATGATGTGGTTAATAAGCAAGTTATCACATAACCGGACCTGATTTCCAATCATTTTTATTGTGGTTTTTAAGCAAATCATTGCAATCATTAAGTGAATTCTGTTAATGGGGCAACAATTGTAACTTAGCGGATGGGTTGTAAGATACTTTTCCTAACACCATCATAACTTTGAACCATCATTAAATAAACGGTCATAAGTGGAGGACCACCTCTATTCCTTCTTCCTTCTGTTTTCCCTACAACAATCCTGTGAGGTGAATTGGGCTGAGAGATAATAACTGGCCCAAAATCATCTAACTGGCTTTCATGCTTAAGGCAGGAGTAGAACTCCTGGTTTCTAAATGAATACTTCTACCTACGGTAATTAAAACTTACACACCTTTATACATTTGTTACTTATGAAAGCTATTAATGTGATCTGAATTAGCCAACTGGTTAGCTAATTAAGTAAATCTGAAGCATGACTTGTTTAGTAACTTGGAGTAATTGTATGTTTAATTTGGCAAAATTAAATATTTTCTGTAATTTACAAAGCTTTGGTTTTGAAGAACCGATCTCTAAATGTATAACCGATCTGCTAAATGTATAAATAAAATCTAAATATATAAGCAAATCCTTAAGCATCTGTTTTGTTTATTTTAGAAGTAAAACTGTTAAACACAGTAAATTCCTTTATAAATGGTAAACAGAAATTTCAATTGTATTTTCAGGAGGAAAAAATGACATGCATCTACTGCTTCCCCTGTAATTTTATCCTGAAAACAGTTACTCAGATTACAAAGGGAAAAGATGTAGGTTTATTTACAGAAACCAATGATTTCATAAGATTGTACAGTACATTAACATATTCATTTCAGCAGAATAAGAGACATCTTGGTTGCCATCATCATACACAAGAAATTACTGATCATCTTCTTAGGTGACACTGATCCCTACAGGGACAGGATTTAAGAGAAACGGTCTCAGCTCCTGGAAGTAGTTAAGGAACATAATAGTAACAATGTGCATTTTTCTAAAAATGCTCCTTCTAATATATTTAACCAGTTATCTGCATATTTGACTGTATTAACCTTATTTAAATAGTCAAGTTCAATATTTCTTCCGAATATTGTGGTTTCTAAATACAGGAAAAGATATGCCAGTTGAAGAGGAAATTAGATCAGCCTATAAGCTTTGCAAATAAATGAATAGTTTTTTCCCCCTCTAAATAAATATTTCTGAAGTTGAAGCTAGATAAACATATACATTACTTACATTTAATAGCTGTTTTGGCCAAATCATCTAGCAGACCTACTCACGGGATTTTTAAAAGACCCAGGCAGGAAATAGATAAAAAAGTCCCTTTGACTATGTTTTAAGTTATTCCAAAATCTGCTGCATGCAAATCATCATAGTTCTGGGAGTTTTCATTACAAATTCTATATAGTGTCAATTTCATGCAATTTTGCTGTTTTATTCATGCTGATATACTTCTAGGTATCCTGTACATTCTTTCTTTCCCATTAGAGCGCTTTTATCGCAATGGCCTGTATTTTGTGATAGGACTTTGTCTTTCCAGCGATATGTGTGATAAATGCATGTAATTTGTGCACAGGTTAGTGTAATTACTTTCATAGATTTCACCTGTTAGGGGAGAAAGGGGTTAAACGTCTGAACGCAGTTAGTATTAGCAGTGGGCTATATATGCAAAGATGATTATGGTATGTATTTTTCTGTAAAACGCTAGCTATGGACTCTCATTCATGTACACAAATTTCTTCCTTTCCATGATTGCGCGGTGAGTTAAAAAGGATCTAGGAAGAAGTGGCTAAATCCCCACACACTTTCCTAAGCTTTCTGCACTCGTAGCTATTATTTATGGGATTGCGCGTGTGCCGGAGAGAGAAACCAGCGTTATGGGAAGTGTAGGGCAAGCGGGGGCGCTTTTTGCCTGTTTTGCAATTTCCCGGAGCCTGTATTGCTGGGAGTTTCTGCCCAGGGTGAGTGAGCAACTGAGTAAGTGGAGAGGAGAGGTCAGCGCCTTTCTCTGGGATTTCGGCTGCCCTTAGGTCGGCAACTCCAGCGGAGGACGCAGCAGGGCTGTGGCCGGGCGGAAGTGACGGCCGTTTCACCTGCTGGGCTGCGAGGGGACCAGAGGAGGGCGGCGCGAGGCAGCGAGTGTCCGTTGGGAATTCGCTCGAGAGTCGCTCCTTTTCCTGGCCGCCGGCGACTCCTCTCTCTGTCTCTCCCTCCCTCCCCGCCATGGCATCGCTGCTGCCGCTCTTGTGGGCTGTAACGTTTCTCTGTGCAGGTAAGGCTGGAAGTCAGCGAGGAAGAGCAGAAGAGCTCCCCCCTCCCATTTTGCCCACCCCGACTGCCTTTGCCCCCTTTCTCCCGCCACCCGCCCACCCCCCCGCCTCCCGGTCGCCCAGCGTTTCTTTTGCCGAAGTCTCCCCAGGAGATGGAAAAACAAAGGCTCCGAGTTAAAGGACTGGGGCTTGGATGGATCGCTTTGCGAAGTGACTCTATGGCTCCTGTATTGTTGGGGTTTCTCGGGAGGAATCCCTCGGTTGGGAAAGGGCTCCGAAGAAGGAAGAGGGGGAGAGAAAAGAAACGCGGCTTTTTTGCTTACTACTGAGTTGTTTTTTTTTTTTTTAACCTCTTGGCGGTTCTCTTCCCCTAGGTTTGTTTTAAAAAAAACACCAGTATGTCGGCCTCTTTCTTTTGGTGAAATCTCACCCTCTGGGGGGTGGGGCGAGCAGGAGGTATCAGGATTTCACTCTGTGATGATTCACCGGCGGTATTGTGAGCGCTGGACTCGCGTAACTACTACCCTTCCCTACGCCCAGTAGCAAAGTCCTTCGCTCTCTCTCTAGAGGAGTGAACCAGGCGAAGAATTGAACTGAAAGATGTAAGGAAAAAAACACATTGAAGAGAGGCACTTACACTTAAACAATTACACTTCTTAATTATTATTTTTTAAATTCATAAGTTTTAACTACCCGCATGATTGCTACTCCATAAATCTGTATATTATGGGGCAGGTGCTGCCACAATTGTTCCAAAATAAGCTGCTCTGGTGTATTTTTGCTAGTAGTGTTGGAAAGGCTTCCGAAACTGGATGAAGGAAACAAAAGCTTTTCTAACAATCTCTTCCTGATCAGAATGTGGCCTTATTTTGCTTCAAGTCGACAAGGCTTCACTATCTTTGCCAAAGTACAAAAAGGGAGGAACATTTAAGGGTACCAGTTGCAGCCCAATTTAGGACTCGTTCGTAGCTTTTCTAGAAGAATGGAGGAATTATTACAAGTAGATAAACCTCACCCATTTCAGACCAACCTGTATTGAACTTTGGGCTTATAATTGACAAGTACAGGGCTGTAGAGTTGCAAAGTTTATTCTTTAAAACTTGAGTCTTTTTTATCTTCAGCACTGGTCACTAAAGATACAGCTCCACAAAGATTTTATAGGGTGTGTTTTTACACATATCTTTGTAAAATGCCTTCCAGAAAAAAAGGTTAGAATCCAAATAGCTGTATAATATTTCAGTTTGGAAATATTATATAGTGTTCGAAATGGGTTAGTTTAGAAATCATGCTGCAGACTATACTTGGATCTTTATGGTTTGACAAATTTCCCCTTACCCGGGATTTTTGAGCCACATTGGGAGGAATAAAAATAAAGTGATAAATCAAAATTAGTAAATAACCTTATTACTTATTCTTGTGGAATAACTAGACGTACAGGTAAAAAAAGACATTTGCTTAAATATGCTAGATACTAAAAATTTTATGTAGCAAGTATTAAGCTTAGGATACGCAAATGCTTTGGTTGTTTAGAACATATCTTCAGGTGTTCTCCAACTCAATTTTTTTTATTAAATTTGTATGCCATCCGTATGTATGGCTGGTCTACAATTTTTTTTAAAAAATACACAACTTTATGAAGGATTCTCTTCATAAGGTTGAGTGGTAATATCATTTAGGAAACTGCTCTCTTGCTATAATTATTTCCTGTATTCAAGATTTAAATTGCACACAGTTAGAATTCAATTTATACCAACACTGTGAAGTTAAAATCTAGGGAAACTAAAAGCTTTTCAGCACTTTCCAGCTCTTTGTTTCCTGTGCAGATATCTCATGCCACTGTTGATGTCATAGTTTTGCAACATTACTCATAGGATAAAAATTCTTTTGGGTCATCAAGCAATATTTTGTGTATATCAATGTCTGTATATCATGTTCACTTTAAATACACCTACTAAAATAGGAAATTCAAAAAGCTATTTCCTCAGATCTTAATGAACTAATTATGATTCACAAAAATTATCCCAAAACTAACAATATTAAAATACAAAATTTTGCCTTGTAACAATAACTATAAAATAATTGCGAACATCTTGTAGAACCTGGGCAGGCAATTTTAGCAGTGTAAACTTGGCAGAACGACATATCTGTACAGTAGATAGATCCTGTAGAAATGATCCTGGCAATCTTCCTTTTGCTTTCCACCCAGTCACAAATTTCTAAAACTGAAACATCTGTAAATATTTGCTTTTAAAACTTGTAATTATGCTTGTGCAAAAGTTTTGTTTTAATAACTTCAGGCTGGAATTATACCTGGTTAACAGGTACCACTTTTTAAACTCAATCTAAGTTAGGGTTTCACAAATATTCTGACAGGTGAAGTCGTCAGCAAACTACCACAGTTGGGACTGGAATTTCCATCATAGGTCATTGCGGTCATCAGTTGAGTCAGAGTTGATTTTACAATAATTTTTATAGTTATTAAATCACAACAGTTGTTAAGCGAATCCAGTTTTCTGAATGGGTGGAGATTTTTTGCTTAAATCAGCAAAAAAGGTCACAAATCATGATCATATGACTACAGGATCCTGCAACAGGTTGTAAATGTGAGTGTTTAGCAAGTGTTTGAATTGTGATCACTAGTGATTGTGACTGCCAGAGTGGTGTGACAGTAGGTGATTATAGATCACTTTTATCAAGACCATCATAACTTTGAACTGTCATTAAATGAACATTTGTAAATCAAGGACTGCCTGATTCAACTGCTGCATAATATTTAAATTCCAGTTATGGAACAGAGATAGAAAATGGTATAATTAAAAATAAGTAAAAGAAAATGTAAAAATAAGCAAAGTCATAGATATAATAGAGTCAAGTAAAAAACATATATATCAGATATATAATGACATAAATAAGAGAAAGAATTATGTGCAAAAGGGAAGGACAGATGAAATAACTATAATATAGAAGCACCAGTATCTTTTCTGTATCTTGAAATTTAATACTGCAAATAATCATCTTAAGTATAGGATGATGGTAAATATATTATTTTTCTCCTTCCTTACTGATTTAATAGCTAATTTGATCACTAGTGACATCAGATGTGCCAAAGTAAAGATGCCAGAGAAGAGGATAACTTCCTCTTCTGTCCTTTTGCAGGCACAGAAAGATTTAAAAAGAACAAAGTTCTTTATTTAGCTATTCAGAAGATAGGAAAAAACGATTAGAAGGGAGATTCTGTAGTATGTAGGTGGGGTACTAGCATCAGATCTATATATTATAGCATTTGCCAAAATCTACCCATTCAAATTTATGAAGCTCCTACCAACAGTTTAATCTCATGTGAGAATAATCTTGTCTCTCCATTGAAGCTACAGGTAGTTTTGACTTACGACAAAATTGAGCCCAAAATGTCTGTTACTAAGCAAAACAGTTAATCGAATTTTGCCCCATTTTATGATTTTTCTTGCCACAGTGATTTACTGCAGTTGTTAAATTAGTAATATGGTTGTTAAGTGAATCTGGCTTCACCGTTTACTTTGCTTGTCAGAAAGATGCAAAGGGTGATTGATCACATGACCTTGGGGCACTGCAACCATCATTAATATGAGTTAGTTGCCAAGCGTCTGAATTTTGATCACATGACCATGGAGTTGCTGCAACGGTTGTGTGAAAAACTGTCATAAGTCACTTTTTTCAGTGCCATTATAGCTTCAAACAGTCACTAAGTGAACTGTTGTAGTTGAGAACTACCTGTACTGGTTAAAGAAGGGAGAAGAAATGAGAAATGTTGGCTTTGATTTTCTATACTGTATTCTGCTATTGGGGTTATTACCTCAAAAGGTGTGCAACCTTGGTAGAAAATTTACCTATTTCTGTAGTGAATATTTATAAAACCAACAACCTGTGAAGAAAATTTATGAAGGTTTATAGCCTTTTAATACTAGAAAATGATCCAATGAAATTAATGACCAAGAGTTTCAAGACAGTTTATACATTATTGGTGCATCTTCAGATAGCACATAATTAATTTGTAGTGCTTCAAGAGATGATCACATAAATGTTTGGATAAAAGTGCATCACTAGCTACTAATATTCTAATAGTTGCCTTATTAATGAGGCAGGTAACATATACATTTAATAGTAATGTGGCATTTAGGTGTAGCCACCACTATTTGAAGAGGCTGTGTTTGTTGCTGAGGAGCAACAGCAGATGATTGCTTTATATCTTTTATGTGATACTGGTTTACTCATGGGGAAAATGGAATTGTTAGAATTACAATTGTTAGACTAACAGAGTAAAATTTGAACTTTTTATGTTCTTTTCAAATTGTCCCTCTGGAGTCAAACGTTTTCAGTCTTGCTCTTGGATTAGATTTGCACTTCTTCATTCATGAGTGGTGTACAATGTGGATGTCTTTATGTACTATCAGCTGGTCATGTCCATCTGTACAGTCACATCTTGGGCTGTTGGAAAATGGAAAAGAGTGTTTACTATGTCCAGTGTGTTCTCTTGACAAAACTGTTAGCCTTTGCCCTGCTTTATTTTGTAGTCCAAACCTGCCTATTGTTTTGGTCATTTTTTGACTACCTACTTTAGCATTCTAAGCCCACATGATGAAAAGGACCTCTTTTCAGTGTTAGTTCTAGAAGGTGTTGTAGTTCTTCATAGAACCAGTCAACTTCAATTTCTTCAGCATCAGTGGTCGGGGCATAGATTTGGATTACTGTGATGTTGAATGGTTTGCCTATGATTCAAACTGAGATCATTCTATCATTGTTGAGATTGTACCCCAGTACCGCTTTTCCCACTCTTTTATTAACTATGAGGGCTATTTCATTTCTTCTAAGGGCTTCTTGCCCACAATAATAGATATAATGCTCATTAGAATTAAATTTGCCCTTCTCCACTTTAGTTCACTGATTCCCAAGATGTTGATATTCAATCTTGCCATCTCATGTTTGATTACATTAGCCTATCTTGATTCATAGATACTATGTTCCA